ACCACTTCCTTTTATCTATGATATTTTTTGCCGCGCAAATGCCGCTCTCTCATTTCAGCTGGATAGTGGCATTTTGCATGGACGCTTGGGGTGAACCCCACCCTGTCTAGTGCTCCTTTCCTTTGATCGTCTTTAAGCATCCTCGGGCACTGATTATACCAGTAAACTCCCTCCACGTTACCCATTTACAGCCTGATTCACGCTTCTAACGGCTGTAAAGTGACCCCCATTAATCGAAATATCAGGGTCCTGTATCCTTGCGATGACTCTCCCAAGACCGTCTACGGTCGACTCCATGCACGCCTCGCAACTGAGAAACCTGGTCTTCTTCACGTTCAGCCAGACCATCCTCTAAAGTTCAGCCAGACTATCCTCTAAAGGCANACCAGTAAACTCTCTCCACGTTACCCATTTACAGCCTGATTCACGCTTCTAACGGCTGTCAAGTGACCCCCATTTATCGAAATATCAGGGTACTGTATCCTTGCGATGACTCTCCCAAGACCGTCTACGGTCGACTCCATGCACGCCTCGTAACTGAGAAATCTGGTCTTCTTCACGTTCAGCCAGACTATCCTCTAAAGGCACGTTCAGCCGGACCAGTTGTCTTCCCAACCTCCGTTTTCCTCATTTCTTCCTTTGCTGCAGAGCCAGATTTTTGCAGTACCTTTACATCCTCTACAGTTTCGAGAGACGATCTGCATACGAGCAAATGCTCGATTTTGCCTAGTGCTGTAGAGCAGTGTCGGAGCCCCCTTTTTGCGAAGAATGTGTTGTACACCGTCAGGTCGTGGGTGATGACCAGATCAAGAACCCTCTCTTCTTCTTTTTTGGTTCCTTTTTCCCCACCCATGTGATCGAAGTCGAGAACCCTCCTCCAATGCCAACGTGATCATTCCGATAAACAGTAGAGATTGGGGAAATGAGGTGAGATATTCTCCTTCCGAAACTGTTCAGATGGCATTGTCGAGGCTGAGCTATATCTGATCCTTTTCGTACTTGAGACGGCACGATTTAGTAACCACCCCTCGTGTATATCCTCGCAGCCATGATTCCATCAACTAATTCTGTTACAGCGGAGGCCTAGTCTGACCTGTATCATGTCTGCTCTGCAGTACTTGAACCCAACTTCTTTCCCAGTTTTCCGGCCGTTGTTCATTTCTAGCTTATCTTCTGTAGGTATTAGACTTTGGTTTTTCTCCGCTCCATTACTTCAGCAACTTCTCAGCACTTCCTAGTGATCCGACGTTTGAATTCACTATTTGAACTAACTTCTTTGGCCTCGTCAATTCCTCGATAGCCACAACTCTAGTTGGGGTCTTGCGCGCCACATTTCAGTGACGTCTAATCCTCATCACTTGATATTTTTGAGTCTTTCTACACATCTGTCGTGAATGGCAAATCTGCAGGACATGTTCTTTTGTCTCAGCAGTTATTGAATTGATAGTTTTTCTGAGTGCACTCATTGGCCTACTTTCTTAACCACCTGGCTATGCCTGCTCTCATGACGGTTCAAGATTATGGCATCTGAAATAACTGAAATCGACGCGGAGTACGACGAACTCGACGAAGTCTTAATATTCTGGGATGAAGTGGAAAATGCTAACCCGATGATAGATTTTCAATTCATAAATCGAATAAACGAAATATTCTTGAAGTTGCGTTCACTACTAGTCTCGTTCAGTTACTGGTACAGCGCGACATTGAAAGAAGCTGATGGAAGATCTTCTTGAAATAGCCCCACTCTGCTAAACTGAATCAGTGTATATCAAAATACTTCGAAACTACCATAGAATGTTCATTATGCTAGTTGTAGATGTTTGTAAATGATGTTTGGTTTCAGAAAAAAAACTAAAATATAATTGTAGACGCTTTAATTACGCTTCGATTACTGCGATAATCATCATGAAAATGGTGTAGAACTTCGTTTTAGCTTTGATTGAAACCGACTCATAAAAACGTGACATTAATATCCAAACTCGAACTCAGCAATAACTAAGCAAATGAATTACGATGAGTCGTTGTGAGAAAGTTCATGATATCCTTTCAGGTATCACTGTTTTTTCAACCGCTCTCGGTGTGGTGATCTCTGCATGCGGATGTGAGGCACGTCCGCTTGCCGAGCTTTTCAAGGCCCTCGATGTCGTTATAACTCGCTTCATGGCAGCCATTATGTGGTAAGCCCCTCTCTCATTCTATGATTTGTTGGAAATAACGAAACGAAAACTGTAATGATAAGTAGACCAAAAATGCATTCAGGCTTGGCCCGATTGGCATCCCATCACTGATTGCACAGAAAATGCTTCACGTGAAAGATCTTGTAGGTACATTCCGCATGCTGGGATGCTTCATCTTTACTGTAATTCTCGGTAACAAACCATTTTATTCCTTCCAAACTCTTCAAAGCACTCAATCACTGCTTCAGGGTTGTCCATCGTGTCGCTCGTCACACTGCCTTTAACTTACGCAGCAGTGACGCGAAGGAACCCCTACAAGTTCATAAGAGAGCTGAGCAGAGCGTTACTGCAGGGGATTGCCACATCTTCAAGGTAATTACAACAACAATGCGCCTTATAGCATCGTTCTGCAACTAAGAGTTCTTCGTTAAGCGCGGCCAGCTTGCCGGTGACTTTCGAGTGTGTACGGGACTTGAATCTGGATCCCCGAGTGGCTAAATTTGTATTGACCGTTGGAACAATTCTGGCAACGGTAAGTGCCGAATTGGCAGCCTTTTTTTCAACAAGAAAGCTTAAGCGACGGTTTTTATTGTTGTAGTGTGACGAAGATATAAATTATAAAAGAAAAGATAGGACTGTGACGTACGTTCTCGAGAATGATGAAATCACCACTTAGGTGATTAACCTGTGGCCCATTTGAGAGTACACAGTTATCCTAGTAAGATAGCATATAAGGAAAAATCATAAGCTTCACACATATGGGTCAGAGCACTACTTCACAGAGCACAATCAAAATTCGGAAGTGACATTGACTTCACAAGGAGCTCACTCATCATAAGGAATACCTTGTTTTACTTGCATTGAGTGTGAAACGAGCCTATGTGAAGGAAATGGACCTTTCTAACAAGCTTCAAGATGTCGTTTAGATTGGCACGGCTCTCTTCCAAGCGGTCTCTCCGATCTTCATTGCTCAGATGAACGATATCACTCTCGACTTGGGACAATATGTCACGCTATGGTAGGAGCAGATTCCCTTTTAAGGGCCTGGGATCCTCGTTGNTTTTTCGGGTATACCATTTTATCACTGTCTGTTTTCAGTGTAACGGCATGCTTGGCCTCCGCTGGAGCAGCAACTGTGCCGAGCTCTGCTCTGGTCACCATGATCATTGTCTTATCGGCTCTTGGACTACCAATTGATGATATATCGCTCATCTTCACTGTTGACTGGTTACTGTACGTAGTTATCACTGGAATGAGGATAGCCCTCGTTCCGGGACGTACAACTAAAGACCATTTGCCCATTTATGTTCCAGGGATCGTTTCCGTACATGCACCAATATTGTAGCAGCCTCGCTTGGATGCGGCATTGTGGATCACTTAAGCAAAGATGATTTGAACAATCTCGATACAGTGGCAGAGACTGTATCGGCAGCATCAATAGTAAGTGCTACCGCTGTGCGACTTTCGATTGAACAAAAATTTCAGTATTTGCAGGATGTATACGTGCCCTCTTCTGGAAAAGCTCTAGATCCATAAAGCGACTTGAAAAGATGGTAACTTTTGTCGGGATCTGAGGAACCTGGTCAATACATTCATGCATGAACGTCGAACTATCCAAGGAGTTTGCAATNCTAGTTCATTAGAAACTTTTTTTTCATATTGTGATCGGAATGCCTGAGAAATTTTTACCTACTCAATGACGACGGGCTTTGAGGTCCGAACTGATGTACTAGAAAGACAGTTCCCACTTCTGGATGCGTAGGAACCTTACGTAGATGTATTATTCCTATTCATTTTTTTTATAAGACACCATTCGTTGCTGGCTGATTCACCTTATGTTGTACAGCGGAAGAGTGGGACCGATCTCCAAGCCGGATATTCGTTTTATCGTTCAGGAGCAATTGTTAAAAACGAGTGTAATTTTCGTGTGATTTTTCAATAAATCTTGTTCTACCATGCTGAAGTGAACGGATGTTCTTGGTCTTGGATTATGACTCATGTTACTGTTCCAGGGCGGAACAGAGGAGCACAAAAACTATCGAGCAGTCGACCAAAGCCTCGTCTAGTCCTTTTTGAATGTCCATCTCTTAGTGAGTGACGCCCCGGATGTCCCGAGATTAGAACTGCATTCCTCCCTGCGCTTTATTTACTATTTATTAGAATGTCAATGCCGATTGTATATTTATGTATCTCTTTCCGCAGTTTTATGAGAAAACTACATACGTAGCTCTGCCAGATCCTCAAAACATATTCGATTTGGCTTTCTCGCTGTACTTTATCAAGCATTTCCCAGAGTGATTATACATTGACTAAAGTGATTTAGATGGCTGAAGAAGATGTTCGAGTGTTGTTGGGTGGTTTGGCAAATTTGGATCGCAGCTACCAGGAGTATCGGGAAAGCAGAGAGCAGAGAGGACCGAGCAGTATGTGCGGAGGGTGCACTTGCCGTTTCTTCGTGAAAGGTGAGGACGTTCTACGAGTACTTTGCAGTGTTTGATGAACATCACTTCAAACACTACACAAGGCTCGTACCGACAGAATTTGAACTCTTATATAACCGCCTCAGTTTTTTGCTGCAACATCCACCGACACATGCGTCACCAGTTACCTCGCGCCAACAGCTCTTCATCTTCTTGAGGTGGCAACAACTGGCAGGGGAGTAAATGCTTGAGTTTTTAATTCTTTCAATTCAAGGTACGTCGAACATCGATACACATTTGCAGCTCTATCGGAAGAAGTCCACTGCGGAGTATCGACAGTCCAGAGCAAAGTTTGTGAAGTTTTAAATGTAGGGATATAATTGGAGGGAATCCCGTGGACGCGTAACATCCCAAAATAAATCTGTCTTGTAATGCTATAAGGAGTGGTGAGGCAACAAAAGATACATAGCATTACATAGCACTTCGGAAAGTTGTTCTTTCAAGCATTATGCGGCGAAACATTCCCTCCTCTCACAAGACAGCAATTGGAAAATGTTGCCGTAGAGGTGCGAGTGAGATACGAGCTATTGGGTTCATGGATGGAAAACACATCAATATTAAGCTAAGAACCAATGTGCAAGCGATTCCGATAGAATATTAATACCAGTTCCAGGAGCTTGCTCACTCTGGAGGGACGTTTGTTAATTACAGGGATTGTGATCAACCATTCCAGAGACTGATCGACAACAACGATCATCTGTTCCCTCCCACGCAAAACTTGGGATATGTTGGCCCGTGCAGTACCAAATACTGGTAGACTGTGGCTTTGCACAGGGGTACCGCTTCGTTCGACCCTACATACACGCGAGCGCTGATGCAGCCAGCAAAAGAAGATTTAGTGCGGAGCACAGCAGGTAGAAGCTAGTTTTACCCGATATTTCGACAACTCAGTTTTCTTTAAAGTGCCCGGCAAGAGGCTGGATCGACGTTTAGAATGTTGAGCAAACGATTTGGACTCCTTCAGAACACCATACAGATGGAGCCAACCCGCGCTGCTGAAGTGACGTCAATGCTGGTAAGTACACTTTTTCCTTAGTTGTACAATCATCCGTGATTTTCCAAAACCACTTCCTGCATCAGGTACTACAC